ATTAAATTACATTTTACAGTGTAGACCGGTCTTACTCTACGCATATTTCGCTAATATTTTTCTTCCTAAAGATGATTTTATGAGTTCATCAAAGTACACGATCAAAGCCTTTCATTTGCCTATTACTTTATATACGATTCTTCGTCTATTTTGAGAAAAACGCTTCAAAAGACAGGACACATTCTATCGTGATCGAGCGGCACTGCTCAGTTTTATTTCTATTTTCGTAAACCTATCAGCAGCATTGAAGAATCTATGACCGTTTTAACTGTGGTACCGGCAGCGAGTGAGTGCATCCCAGTGACGTATTTGCGCACTTGGAAACGTCTCACGCTACCCGTCAGCTAACATTAATAGCGCAACTATTTGTGTTCGGGTGCTGCTTTTTTTTATTTAGTCATCGAGGTCTTTCTTTGCGCGCCCATATCAGAGGCAACTACATAGGCATACAGATCCCAAATTATGTCGCAAGGACTAACAAGACAGCGAACAAGCGATGATACCCACTGATGTTTCTCTAGATCGCTGCAAAGTCCGTTACAGTGCTCTGCAGGACATAATGGAAACCAGGATAATACTAAGCGCTTTGATAGCGAACACCAAGCGGAGCTTCGCAAGCGCATGTAGGGACGTTTTAATTTGCAGGCTGGTATCATATGCGAATCTTTCGTTATGACGCCGATGGACCAGACGTCACTGAGCTCGTTTTGCTTCTCTACGACATTTACTAACTAGACAAGCTACTAAATGGACAGACAATCCAAACGATTCGTATATGAAATGAACTGATAGTCTATAGAAGGGGCAGTACCCTGAGGGTGACTTGGCCAGCTCTGTTTTATTCGATTAGTGAGTCGTACCCCTTAGAGGAAGGATGTATGTCGAATGTGAATGAAATCGACTTCATGAGGTTAAGTTTTATTTATTTCAGGAAACGTTAGACGCCACAATGACTGCAGTCGATGAATATTTTAGAAGAGTTTAGGTCATAATCGCATCATATTATAGTAGTGTGTATTACATAATATTTTCATGGGGAATATTATTGTCATAATGGTAAATAGGGCAGCGCGCTGCTGATCATACAGCTGGTACACACCAAGTAATTGGATAAGTGACTCGCCTAGCGGGAAGAAGTGCCAGCGCACAAAAAAAGCCTACTGCCGGTGATGATTGCGCTTATTTTGAGAAACGTTTCATGTCGGAATCACAGAACCTCTTGTTAAGGTAAGTGGATATGCTACAGATAGTGAACAAAGCAAGCAAAAAAATACAATGAAAATAATAATATGGACTTGCAACGTACCGCACTACACTTGATTCTATAATTTAAAGCAAAAAAAAAAAAGTATACTTGTAAAACTGAATTTTTATTGGGTTAGTTGGTCTACATAGATGAAACTATTGTCTGGAATCGCTGTCTGCTTTGTTCATGAAAATAAGGCGAAAAGTCGTAGCCATTGAGCCATTAACGCAAACATACTCCCTAGTGTATTGTATGATTCGTTGACGGTTAAATAATAAGACGGTCCGTAAAATTATCGTGTTCAACTTTATTCGGTATATACACATAATATAAAAACGTTGAAATAATAACATAATATAAAAACGGCTTCCATTTATTTACAATTGCAAAATACCCTATACTGAGTGCGTAACTTTTCCTCTTACTTTAGATATTCATAATTATTATCGCGCCGTTCAATGCACTGCTGATAACTGATGAAGATTTCCGTTGATGTTATCCAGTTATGACACTTTCAGATCTTCCAGCTTTGTGAGTGTTCTGGCGTTTAATGTGCCCTACAGAGCTGAAATGCGGCCTGATCTTTAGTCTTCTTGATAGGGCCATTGAAATACAAGTTGTGCTGGTTCAATAGCCATAGCAGAAAAATGAAGTAAAGGCTTTTAATAGCTGTCTTCAGTCAGGTGTCTCCGTCGTTTCGAGCGGTATCAGGTGATACTTTGATGTGCGAACGCGGTCCATTTAGTAAATATAGTGGTTTCTTCTACGTGTTGATTTCAATCTAATCCATATTGATCATTCATCGTTATTAAATATGCTTAAGAAGAAACCTATGTTTTAAAGAAATGGTATACTAAAAGCTAATTTATTTTTATGTTTTCTGCCCCCGTTTGATTACAGTGAATAGATAGCTTAATGTTTTTTTCACATTTTCCTAAAAATTGTTATTAATGGCTTTCAATGAGACAAAATGGCGATAAGCGTAGACTCGCTTCCTGGTGGGCGGTCATTAATGCAGTAAAAAAGGCATCGTTTTAAAGAACCTAGGGCCGTGCGTTGGGTCATATGTAGCGGGTTGCATTTCGCCGCTGGGATTGCCAATATAACGTAGACTGAGCGTTTCGACAAATCGTAACTTATCAGCTAGGAATTAACCCTTTAAGCATTTCGCTCCGAAATAACTTTTTCCGTTCGGTCTGCGTAGCAACGGATGTTAATGCCAGCGTTATCAAAGACCCGTCCAATAAGGCTTCAGAGTCTGTGAAATTGTGAGGGGGCATTGCTGGCTGAGGGTCAGTCAAGGGCTGTAAGCAAAACAAGATGTCTATTATTGTCAAGACGAGACCGTTTGTTGCTTCGGTTTGAATTTCTGGGAAAAACCTTTGGCGGGTTTCAAATCAGTAAATCTAACTGTGCCGGTAATCGGTCAGTTGATCTCGTCCTTTCTTCTCGATCTGGTCGCCAAACACAGGAAGTCTTACATCGGAGCTCCCAGATACAGCCACATACCGGCTTCTTTCGTATGAACGCAACGTTTGATGGAGAAAATACAGACGATCTGGGAGATCAGCGTGTCAGTGTGCGTCGTTCGCTTGGCAGGAAATTTCGAACGAACGCAACCGTTTAAACATGTTTTTCTTTGTGCGCAATTTTATTTGTATTTATTAAAGTGAAAAAATGATTTACTATTTGGAAACTTACCTCTAGATTTTCAATGACAAGTGGATTTTGTGGAGCTAGCCCCAAAGGAGCTAGCAGTGCTCGCCCTGCAAAGTGCATCTATGAACAGGGTTCAGGTAATAGAAGTGGCGGTTACAGTCTGCAGACTATCACGAGATTCCAGAATAAAGGCTGTGCTAGGAATAACTTTTTAAAGACAAACACAGTCGGGGATCTCGGCGCATCGAGGACAATGATCTGATTGCAATGAAAAAATATGATATATATATATATATATATATATATATAGAATATTTTTTCATTGCGAAATTTATAGAACTCTGGCTTGCATAAACAAAAAGATGAAAAACCCACAGTGCCATCTGACACAAGGGATTACTTGACGGAAGCTGATAACAGTTGACACAGGTTTTTTGCAGCATGTTTTAAGGGATTACTTATCAATCGAATAAACTAAATATGATGATGTTTGCTCTGATTGTACGAACCATAGAACTTGATCAGTATCCTAAACGTTGTGGGTTAATGTTAAAACAACAATGTCTATACGAGAAATTGAAATGTGAATGCCTGCAACGGAAAAACAGTAACTCACATCTTTACAACATTATAAAAAGAGCGGCACTGCCCCAGCTTCCAGTATCGGATGAAACTACCGCGGGCTACCAGTACGCAAACACCTTATAACCTAACACAATCTAGGATACCTTATAGCTTAAATCCAAAATTTTTGGCCCTTTCTCTAAAAATAAAAAAAAATTACAACAGTTTATATATATTGTGCAATAAAGAGTAGAATATCGTTATTATGACGTAACATTATGATCTAACCGTAGCATAAGGGTTAGCAAGTAACAGGCAGAATGACTCAGTGATAACCTTGCTGATCTGCTGTTTAATCTGTGTTAAAAGTATATTAGTTAGACTTAGACATAAATAGTGCATCGAGCTCAAAAGACAGATACGGAGCTTAATAAAGAGCTATCTTGGTACAGAGCTTGCATATAAGATAGAAAAACTATATTTAAACAGCTCCGCCTAGGAGAGAAATTAATAAAGCTCTTGTTGTAATAAACAAACGTAGTTCTTACGGAACTTGTCTCATGATGCTGGTAACCCTCTCATGGCTGTGTAATCTATGCTACGATACGTCTGAGCTGAAAAGTAACTCAAGGACCGAAGCCACGCAACACCTGTTGTTTGGTCTGGCTACGTAAATCGCTGCCAAAGGCCTTATTTTAATGTGTCTATATATCTACGCATAGAAAAAGGTACGAAGTTTGATCTATAGAAAGCTGCAACTGATGGAGTGCTATTGGTGTAGCATAGCGTTTTGTTGAGCGCTGAGTAGAATCATCTTAAAACTACAGCCGTCCTTCATTGTGTAGCGAATGGTACGCCTTTTATGTGTGTGAATTTAGCGGGTTGAGTGTTCATTTAGAGTAATGAATCTTTAAATTAAATAGTATATCTTGATTTTGTGTTTAGGATGATTGGGCAGAAATAAAACAGTTGTAAAGGTTCATCATAAAAGTTAATCAACGGAAAGTGTTTGCAAAATGGCGCTCTCCACTTTGCGAACGTTGCCAGTTGAGTGATATGCGTCAGTGGGCAGCTTCGGCCGAATGTTCCAAGAAGTATGTTCCTACTTGTATGTTTTGAATTTTGCGCCCAGTATCGCCGTAAGGCATTCTATCAAACGGCTGGGTCTCAGAATGAAACGAAGTCCTGTGGGTTCGAACCTAGACCATAACGTGTCCCTAAAATTAGCTGGAAAATACATTACCGACTAAGTTATCACGGGAGCTCCCACCTAAGCAACTATTAATCAAAATATTTTTTCAATTTTTTTAAACTTGATTTGAATATGGCGAGTTAATCGAGGTCTTTCGCTTTGTATTTGCATCATGGACTTTTAGGCAAAAACACTTTCGAATCGTACCTTGTGGATTTTAGTCTGTGAGCTTTGCGAACTGATTATAGGTTTATATTCCAATGCACTCGATATGCTTTACAGGCTATGCAGCCGCAACAGCACCATCTGTAGCACAGTAAGTTAATATTGGACAAACTCAACATAAACGTAATAAACTAATGCGTAAGTCAGTCGAGATTACGGTGAATTTTACCTTAGCTTACATTAACTTTATCACAGTTAAGTGGATCTGAGAAAGCCTGCTCCTCAGAAAAAAAATAAAGCCATAATTACCGTAACTTTCGTGCACTACAGTTGACGTGAAAATTCGAAGGCAGTAGGCCGTACAGGCTATGTTTACCGATATTTACTAAATACACTGCCTGCATATATTCCCTGTCGGATTGAATAGACTAAACGATCTCTCGGCTTTTTTTCCATAATGTATAAACTAATATGGACTAGCAGGATATAATCTGACAATTACGCTTACTAATCTAAACGAACCTCAAATCAAACATTCGAATTTCGCGAGTTAACTGATGACTCATGTTTACAATGGGGTATCATTGCAGAGGTAGCTGAAACACCATGTACAGAAAGATCTTCATTTTAAAACTTAAGCCCATCCCTTTGATTATGTTAATACGAGATTGTAGATATTATCTACATATGTTATTTCCGCTGATTGGAATGATGTTGTTCTGCCCTTGTCTCAAATAAAAATGTTGTGCCAGCCGTAGTTTTGGTGGAGCTACGGTTACCCAGCGTATGAATTATTGCAAAAAAACAACAATATTTGAGAAATTGAAATAATCCTAGGTCTGACTGGTTCACAGTACCAACGTGACAAAAATGGTAAGCTGCCTTTTGTTACATTCCGCTGGTTTTTGGTATCTATTTGATATTTATAGGTTACGGACTTTTCAAGCATATAAAGTTAATTGCTGGACAGTTAAAAACTTGCAGAAATCTGATAGAGCGAGAACGAGAGAGAGATCTTGAGCGTACGTTTCCATAGCCTCATTCCCAGAACACTTTTAACCGGTGTAACACAGGTTGCCCACACGCAACCTTAAATAAACTATTATGGGAGTGCTTTTTATATACACTATATTACTACGGCCTCGACGAGTGTGTTGACTTTCTTTTTGAGTATTCGATATTAGAATAAGACGCAGTGAATCGGCTTTTTATAACCCTGTTCCGAACACATGCGTTGATCAAATTGAGGAAAGCTTCTTCAACAAAGCGGAAATTACTTCGACGCGCGTAGGGGACGTCGACCTTCTCATACAGGTTGAATCCGTTCTCGAAATGCACATGAATTAAATTGGCGTTTAGTACCCTAAATAGATAGAAGGAGGGCGAGCAGACTACACAAGCCGCAATGGATACGTAAGATACATTTACACCAGTTTGTAATGAACCACCTACACCATACAGTAATGAAATAATTTGAAAAGAGTAAACAAGTTATGTTCTCTGCTTTGCCGTCCATTGATTTAAAAACAAGGTCGAATTCAGTTGACTAAGTTATATGTTAGCTAATTCATATGCTTAAAACGAAGTTTTATTTCTTTTATTTAGTCCCGTTCAAATCCGGAGTCACAGTCGACGGAATCCTTGATCTCACAATCGTCGCTGCCACAGACCTCGATATCATCATCGACCTCGTTTACAACGAGTTTGGTAACGGAAGATGACAAAGCAAAATTACTGAACTGCTCTCAGAAAGCTAATCATTCCAAAGCTTCTCAAGAAGCGGGTCAAGATCTGGTTCAAAAAGCAAAACATCTACAGACTAAACCTTTACTTTCGAATATTCCAGGCCTTAAAAGGCCAAGCGAGCCCTTACGCAGTCCAAAAACCCCGGTTACCCTCGAAACCGACAATATGAGGCGGCAAACGATGGTCTGCGTTTTAACTGCGGCCTGTCTCATTACCGCAGTAATTATCGTGTATTTCGTCGTAATTCGAAGACATGAAGGATACAAGTATACGGAAGGAAAGCCTTTGTCGAAAACCTATTCTTCGTGGGCCAGTGCTATGGACGAACCCCAATGTGCCCAGATTTCTGGGTGAGTAGCAAGTGAAAGTTTGACTTTCGGACTATCGCGCTTCTAACAGTTACTAAAAAAATTAACCTTGAGCGAATGCTCACATCAGATAAGATTTTTATGGAAATCATATAGTACCAGCGGTTCTGTCTCTCTGACATTAAAATGTTAATCAAAAAGTGTTCATTAAAGTTACTCTTAGAGTAAATTGGATTGATGCATATGGTTTAGCTGCCTAAACCGAATTAAATGATTATTGATGGTGGCAAAAGCCTAATTATTTGTCATTGTTTGTAGCTACTAATTTAGTGCCTTATTTATTAGTAGTAAACTTTAACAGAAAAGGTAGTAAAATGTTTACGTTTACTTTATTCTAATATAATTTTATCAACTACATTATATAAACTATGTACGATGTCTTTTATATCCTCAAGGTGCCTTATTACGCTATGTGATATGGTCAACGTGATATAATAATTTAAGTAGAAATGTTACCCTCATTTCAGTGTTATTTACAAGCGAGGTGGGACAGTCGCTGATGCTGCGGTCGCGTCTCTTCTTTGCCTTGGAGTCGTATTGCCAGAATCTCTCGGTATTGGTGGGGGCTTTCTAGCTGTCTACTTTCAAAAGTAGGTCGTTACCTCACGCAATAAGTGACCTACTACGTAAACTCAACCTTGCCTCTGTGCCGTTTCAATCTACTTATTTTCCCACTGTAGCCAGCGCAACTATCCGCTTCTAGACTGAGCTTCAGGAAAAACTGATTGATGAATTTGCTCGAGTAAATCGAAAGCAATAGTAATAAGCGCAGAAAGAAAGATCTATTTGCATGGATTCTGAAAATAATATGAGCGGAAGTGCCATGCGTTCATAATTTGGACTTAGCTTAAAATGGAAAAGGCACAAGTCTAGTCAGAACAGAACCCTTTATTATATGACTCACTTGCAGGTCGACTGGAAAGGTGCATTTCCTTGATGCTCGTGAAGCTGCTCCATTGGCCGCCAAATCGGATATGTTTGTCAAGTCAAACAGCGCTGTTGGTTCGTCTGCTTTGATTTCAATTCCTTTGCAGTCAATCCATTTCAACTAGCTTTCCTCGAATGTCAATAGCGTATTTTGTCATTAAAGCATTTTTATCGTAAAGATTAAACATGTCTTGTCTTATTACGTAATCGAACTCACAGATATGCACGCTAGCTTAGCGGTATTTTGGTCTCGGAAAATTGAAACGGAAATTTGTTTCGAATCGAGAATCTCTGTGCGCCGATGCAGGGGCGCATCGAAGGCAATGTAGTCGTGGTACAGGGAATGTAAATATCGCATGTATTATAAAATTTGTCTAACAAAATTTTGAATTACTAAATGGTCAACGCCTCGTTGAAATGTTTGTAATTTATATAAATACAATGAAGCACCTCCTACTCAGATGGTAAAATGTATCCTGTGGAGGTTTGATATAAAAGTCGCCAGTTTGTCTCTGAGTGCCTATTTTCTAGATGAATTCTGTTCTACTGTATACACCTATAGAATTAGCAGATCGTATTGTATTTGGTGACTAAATTATTTAATTCTTTCGCTTTTCTTGGCTGACGCACCTCTAACGCTGTGCAATTTTTCAACTCAGACAAACATTTTCGTTGTTAGAGGTCGTACGAAAGTTTATCTTTAGAACTCTAGACGTCGCAGCTAAAAGGCACGCCAGAAGGTTACCAGCTGGAATGCCACACTCAACTCACGCAACGTAACTATGAAGCGACACATCCTGTCGTATCAATGGTATTATATATAGTTTATAGAAAAACAAGCTAGTCTAGGAAGATCTTTTGGAATCATAAAAATTATAGAAATGATAAACCAACATAATTCTAAATCGGTCCGTAGTCATACTTGTCCAGTTTAGATATTAAGACTGAATCATCTAAATTGTTTCTGTCTTCAACTTCAGGACCTTTATCGGTTGCTGTGCCGGGAGAGTTGGCCGGTTATCAAGAGCTACTGAAATTTGTTGGTTCGAACGTCACCTATAAGGACCTTTTCGAGACTGCGATCCAATTAGCTGCCGGAGGTTATACGGTTGGACATCATCTTGCGCACTCTATCAAAGAGAAAGCGGATTTGATCTACCAATCGGAAAATCTCAGGTGAGCTAAAGCTTTTTCAAGAGGCTACTCGTTCATGAAAATATGCAAAATAAATACTATTTTTCCATCTCGATATTTACATTTTCTCCCATAAAGCCTTTCGTTTGGTCCCAATATGCCTTCGATCTTTCCTTCAGCGCCCTTCTATTTGCCAGCGACCTAGCGCACTCATATGACCTAGCAGTTAAGTTTCTAAATTTAAAATAAAAATAAAACAAAAATATTCTCACTACTGTTAAATGTATACCAATTTATTCAATTCACTAAATGCATTTATATCGACATTAGAATAGTGACGATGGCTAAGACATAACTAAAGAACATGTTTATTATAAGGAGTTTACATAATGTTTTTAAAAAGATCGCAGCTCGAAAGGCGATTTAGTTCTTTTTAGTCACCATATTATAAATAAACTTTACGATAATTTAGAGGTCGTCACGACTGACAAATATTCAGTGTTATCACATTCGTGCTTTTATAAAATCCATCAGGGACTGCCAGCGTCTCTGATAAACTCAGATATCATATTGTATCAAAGGTATGCTTCCTCTTGCTTGATAGTTCCATAATGTATGCGAATTTCAATTTTTCTATAACAGATTAATTTTTGGTTTCCGTATATTTCGACGATGGTCTCCACCAATTCGTTGACGAACTGATACGACCTCTACAACTAACCGAATATAACGGATCTTGTTTTTAGGAAAGGAATAGGCAATAGGACATGAACCCCGGGTAAAAAGCATCAATTTTGCCTTCATTTAAAGGACCCTTTTTCTCATATAATTATTATGTTGCACGATCGATATTGGAATTTTAACACAATCCGATTGGTAGACATTTGCCGAGACTTAGCGCTTTTAAATAAGCCGATAGTACGTTAATCAATTAACGAAAAGGATGACAAATAACCGTATAAATCTCCCGTATAAAATTACATAGGACAGACAGATAAATTTGCTATGCGAACAAGTGTTAAAAGGAGGGAAGCAATTGGATTTTTGAAAAACAGAGATCGAAAAGGCCAGTTACTTTTGTTATCCATGCTAATGCGCTGTATGCGACTGGCGCCTGCAGGTTTTTCTACTTACGCTTCATGGTAAATTTAGTTTCTAGCAAATAGGACGAAATCAAAGAATCTTTAAACAGGGGGTTATTCAATTCCATATCCCGCATGGCGCCCGTTTGGGTTTATTGATCGGATACGGGTAATTATACCCGAATACGTTAGCCATCTGTCCTATATCGGTATCCATATATCTAGGTCGAATATCGGTAATTGTGAACCAGATGCGTGACCTTCGGCCGCTTGTATTTCGCTTTAAATTCATCTTCTTGGCTAGACAAAGAACACCATACTGTCTACCATCAAAATAAAAAGGCCGGTTTACGGTAATGCGGTTGGTATGTGGTCATAGGATAAGCCTAGGAAAATAATAAGGTAGGCGTATACGGCGAGGTGTTCAACAGCGGCAGCGGTCCTACAGTAATAAATACATTAATTTATTTCAATATTGAATTTATCAGAAAGTTTTATTAATAAAGTTCACAGAAGCAATGCTTACTTGAACTTTCCCAAAACTCACAAACGGTCCGCGGTCAACTGTGAGAAACATACTTGCGCAATTGTAACACCTATTTTAGCATTTACATAATATACCAACAGTTCAGTCTGCTGGTCAGAGTTGTAGTACTTTTTTGTTTTTATGTCACAATACACTTATTTCTGCGAAATCAGGTTCTCATTTGACTCGGCACATCAGGGCTATTGAGGGTGTTCAATTCGATTTGATTTATCGCGTGGAAAGACTGAATATATTATTCTTTCAAGTCCTCAGTTCCCTTCCCTACTTCGATACATCACAATATAAATGTCTGTATTTCTAATTCCAAACGATCTGAAGAGACAGCTGGCCATAGTACCTGGTGACTACAGCAGAAAGGGTAAAGAATACGCTTACGTAGAGGTTGTGCTGTCCAAAGAAAGCAGAACAAAATATATTTGAGAGACGTTATGTGGCAATAGAGACCATCCTCTATTGAAAAAATTAGGATGATTTGATTTCAGCAGCCAACATAGTAATTCAAGGTTTTTTCAAAGGTTCATTTACAAGTCGAGTTTTTTTCTTATATTAGATGTAATATTATCTTGATTTAACTAATGTTATAATTTGGTATCGGTTAACATTTTGATTGATTACTTAATTCATAATTGACAGCAAACCCTAGGCGTATTAATAGGTAGAAGCAGGGTGTTTTACTATCAGTAGCATCCGAAGGTTTAGCTTCCCTGCGTATTTTAAATATCCACTGATGAATTGTATTTTCTCAAAACAGCCAAGATTTTAGGCATGCTAATGGTCTACCTTGGGTGGCTTTGACTTATCAGCGAGATCTAACTATTGTTTGGTCATTTAATATAATTTGATGCAGTCTCATACTCAGCACTAATGCATGTGTTATTAGGAAGATCTACTTCGACCAGGAGAAGAATTCTACGAAAAAGCACGGAGACACCATCTACAATCCAGACCTGGCTAAAATATTCCAAAAGCTTGCTTCTACTAACGATTTTGCACACGAGTTTTACAACGGATCTATTGGCAGAATGGTTGTAGAGACGCTGAAAGCCAGAGGAGGCATTCTGACTAGTCAGGACTTGGCCAGCTATAGAACTCACTGGAGAAAGTCAACCTTTGCCTATATGAAAGACAGACAATATGAAGTCCACTCGGGAGGTATGTCTACCTTTAACTGGAACCGTAGAAATCGCGAAGGTGAACTGAAATGATGTCGCAATATATGCCATCGGTAATTTAGGGAAAAGGAAGCCATTTTGAATCTGTTGTCGTTTAATGTCTGCGAGCTGAAGTTTCAGAGCAAAAACTTTGACCTGTTAGTGTTTATTCCATTTGAAATGTTTAGTTACAAAGCCGCTTTAGCCACCGAAAGAAGTTCCACTTTATGTATAAATAGTGTAAGTTTCATGTGACTATGTACCGCATTTACTTACTATAACTTGTAAGTGTAGCTGATCACTATTTCACTAGTTAGAATAGCTGAACTAAGCAAAATCCTGATGACTAAACTTTCCGTATTCGTAGGCCTATCGGGAAGTGGATCAGTGCTTTCGATGATGGTGAATATAATAGAAGCGTTCAAAATGAAACAACTAGAAGAAAACGTGACTACATATCACCGGCTTGTCGAGGCCATGAAATTCGCTTACGCCCAAAGATCATTACTTGGCGATTATTTATATCCCTCGGTGTCTGATGAATTTAAATCGAACATAACCAAGGTAAGTGTAAAATCATAAGTTCAGATTACCACATAGGGTAAAAGTAGATCTGTGAAGTGAAATGCCCGATAGAAAAATTTGATTGTCCAACGGCCAGGAGCGCAAGTGGTGCTCCTTTCAGGTGATGCAACACCGAAACTTATTAATGATGTTATTCCCAATGGTAAAAAGCTACATAGTTATAACTAGTTTGTCTCGATAGCGGAAGATTAACCAATACTGTGAATATTTCCATTTGTTTTCAATTGCACGTTTCACAGTTGGTCGACAACATGCAGAGCGAAGACTTTGCACAAAAGATGCGTAGCAGAATCTCAGACTCTAAAACGTTAAACTTGAGCGAATATAACGGAGCTTTCAATAAGCCCCGGGATCGCGGAACGTCGCATGCCAGTTTCTTTGCGCCCAATGGAGATGTTATCGCAATAACTTCTACCGTAAATTTCTAGTAAGATATCATCACTGTTACCGTGCTTCGTTGGTCTGTATATTGAAGTGTTTAGGAACATACCGTCTTGTCGCATATAATACCGAAAACAGACATTTCTAGAGTATTTACTGTTCGATAATGCTAAAGTCCCTCAAAGACTAGGGGGTAGACGCACTTCATTTCGTTGGGAGCCGGCCGTCTGACCGAATGCCAAATAACGGTGCCGGACGTAAGATTTAAGACGTTTACCTTAGATAGGCGAAAGGACTGGTATCCTTACGATATCAAACGATAGTTGTGAGCAAAATACTTCAGTTCCTGTCAACTACATTCAGCATTTCTATTCATTTTGATAACGGCTTAAATATACAAATTTAAAGCGTTTGTGAACGAAAAGCCTTTATCTGACACCACCTTCAAACTTCCTAACATCCTATATCCTAGTTATGTATTATATGGTAACTATATATATATATATATATATTATTACCAACGGACTTCATAGCTATACACATATGCGCTTACTTTTCTTGGTAGATGATCTGCACTAGGAACACAGGCATACCATTCCAGGCGTCCTATTTGTGTTTTAAGTATAGCCTGGAGCGAATTTCCGTCCCCAACTTTTTTGTGGACCCCGTTGCAGATCGTGATCATCATCATCATCATCATCACTTTGTGGCACTTTTATTGCCAGCCTAATTCGGTTTTTATTTGAATTATCAAGTTGCTTATTACAATTTCCCAGTCACTATTACGGCGAGTCCTCTGTATCTGTTTATTTCAATATTCTGTTTTACAGATCTAATAAAATTGCAGCAATGATTCGTTTTATTTTGTTATTGTGGTTTGGACTGTAATTCCGACATCTCAGTATCGTATTCTAATCATCCTATGGCCCTCTAGCGAAACATAACTAAACTACCACTGATTGGACCGAGTTAGTCTTGTTCTGTTATGCCTTTAACGTTATTCCACTATCACAAGGTGAAAACTACCTCTATCCTATGAAGGCCTTGCAAATAGTAGGCCGTTCGAGAAATCACTGAATGTTTGAAAAATCCTTAATCATTTATTGAGAAAAACACCTTATTTGGCCCAATGTAGCGAAAATAGTGTTTATCTTAGAAAATGCAGTGTTGTGCGTACCGTGTAGAATTCGACAGTCCAATTGACCTCTACACTGAAACGTTTAAGGAGCTTTTGGCCATTGTTGGGGGCACTGTTCGGGAGTTATCAAGCACCCGGCTTACTTCAATCTATGGGAAAGCTTTTCTATGTTTTTGACATAAAAAAAAAGATTTTTTCTGGTCAAGCCTTTTTTCCTATGTTGTTTTCTCGTCGAATTTTACGTACATTATATCGTTAAAGCCGGTTGAAGTCGTCTTCGAGATTGTCGCCACGTAGGTACGAACTTTAATTCACATATGCGCATGCATATAAACCCACTCGTACTGGTTAAAAATATACTATAATATAGTTTGTTTCCTCTTTCGGAGATCCTATGCCAGAATCGAAATTCAACCAGATGGGAAAATTAAGTGAAGGCGAACTTCTACTAATCTGCTACCTTAAATACACTTAAATTACTTACATGCTATGAACTAGGGCGTTGATTTTCATTTTATTATTAAATAATATTATATATAATACTCCTGTTTTTTAAATTTCGTTATGTTTTAGCTTTGGAAGTGGTGTCGAGATTAATGGAATACTTCTCAATAATGAAATGGACGATTTTTCAATACCTGAAAAATCGAATGGTTTTGGTCTGATGTCATCGCCAGCCAATTATATCAAGGTCTGTAAGCCATCATCACCAGCAGTGCGACATAAATATTAGTTAGACTGAACCGATTGTTTTTTAATTTAATTTTTTTTTCTTTAATTTAATTGAATTTTATTTTTATGTTTAAAATTTAATAAAAACTCCTTTTTAAAAAATGTATTAAGAGAATTTCATAGTGAACCATTAGAGCAGCAGATACTAATCGAACAGTCGACATTAGCCTTGTATCACGAGTATACAATTAATATCATTATTACTGTTATAATTATTGCTTTAACAAGAAAGCGGCCGAATGGAAGGCATGGCCGGCTTTTTCCTAGGGAACTTGAGTGCTAGCTTTTTTTTGGGCCTTAATCGTTGTACGTGGGGTCTGACGCGATCAATAATTGCAAATCAATTTAGCCGCTCAAGCGTCCGCTGTCGTCGATGGCTCCAGCTGTTGTCATAAAGGGCGGTGAAGTTGTAATGGCTATCGGAGCCGCAGGTGGATCGCAGATAACATCGGCCATTATGGAGGTGATACTGTACTATTTCTACATGAACTACACGATTGGGGATGCTATTGCGCATTCGAGATTGCATCACCAATACTTGCCTAATCGTATCACATACGACCGCAATTTCGATCCAGTGAGTACCGCTATACGCTGCCTTATATTCCGTTGACCCTGTTCACCGTATGTTTATAATTGGTTGGCTAAATAAACATATATATATTCGCCAAGCTAACTCGTTAAACACAAGTTCGCCTAGCAACACCACCCGCCCAAAATTGACTTGACACAATGCTTGCGAGTACTAGGCCTCTGGTGATATACTCGAGCAAAGATTGTTTCTTGCCATATTTTTACAATATAATATATAGGACACACAGAATCGGCAAAGGAGATGAAACAATCTTTTTCCTACCCAGCCTAAGCACCGATTCTCTTGTTTCAGAACATCATAAAAGAGCTGGAAAAATTGGGACATGAGACCTATATGCGCCCTGACAATGTCAGAGGAAGCGTCATCGTCGCTGTCGTTAGAGAAGGTGACAAAATTGTAGCCGCCTGCGATCCGCGAAAAGGCGGAGGCACCAGTGGTGGCTTTTAGATTTGTTGATCTAAGATATTCCGTCAAGGGTCTCTTGGCCGTAACTCATGGAAGAGCGGATCCAGCAAAATTATCCTTAACCGATTCAGCGTTAAATATAGTATGATTGTCAATGGATACAATCGTGTTTAATAATTATACGCGTGTATGTATGTGATATAAAGATAGAAAAAAGCTAATATTGTCCCCGAAAAGCCTTCACCATCAATAAGTAGGGGTGCTTTAATTCAGCTGTCAGACCCCTATGGGACACTTTGCCATTGCGTGCTGGTTCGCGTCACTCCACCTGCTACCCTTTTCTTGTATCTAAATAATTATTCCTGGTAATTTCTGCCGTAGATAATTAAACGTCTTTTGAAATAAGAAACAGCCAGATCGAAAAAAACTTTAAGTCTGTTGCATAGACGGCTATAGTCGCTAGAAATCTAAATCAGCAGCTTAGCAAGAAGTCTAGGTATTGGCTTCATACGTTTGGTAACGAGGCATATATGAGCTCTGGAAATTGCGCTAATTGCGATGCTATCAGTAATTCCTGCAAGCGTAATCAATAGAAATCGACCTTTAGTTACTAAAGAGACAGCTCTTGAAAACGATATCTAACGGACGAGGTTTTTAGTTCTTATATACCTTAACATTCGGTTCGTTTAGGCCTTATTAGGCTTACTTATAGGCTTGAACAGTTCTGTATACGGTTCTGCACACTGACACGAATACCGAATTTTAGGGTCATAAATCTAAATTAATCAGAAGTGAGGCAAAAGGTTTTATGATCTATTTGAATTGAATTTCACATTGATATATACACATACGATGCACGACTAGAACTCTGAAAAGCACTCATACGTTTTATGACCTGATAAATGCAAGTGATACAACCAGTGATACAAAAGCCTTTCCCCTTAACTCCTCGCTCTCCGTTTAACGCGTACGTCGTATCTTAGTTAAATTTGCCTTACTGCGACCTTAAGGCTAAAGACTTAATAATAATATAATAAATATTATTGAAAAGAATAAAACCTAATTATAAGCCTTATTTTTCGAAATCTCGAGACGATTTCTAGGCCCTTCTCTAAACATTGTATTAGTTAACTGTTCTACCTAACTCTGTGCTGAATTTTACCGTAAAGTATATAGATATCACCAAAACAGAAAGCCCTTAGAAATAGTAACTGGTGAAATCGTTGAAGACAAACCAAGGGAGAGGAGATCGTATGGAACCGAGGTTAAGACCTTTTTGGTTTGTTGTGTTAGTATCTAATTTTCATAATAATTTCATTAGTTGCTACCAAAAAGTTCTTCGGTTCTATACTATCTGACGTTGTGTATGTATATAACCTCGTTAGACAAACATGGGACTCCTTTTGGTTTGTCAAATGTTTGAGTAAATACGTAAAACTAATCTTATCTTTTTTTTGCACAGATAAAATCGTTGAAACCCGTTTTTAATCAGAAAGTGAACAAATAAAGAAAAGGTTGAACGAAATTTTT